GCTGTAGTTAATTTGGGCAATATATTATGGTACCGTAATTTATGCTTTTGCATGATATTTCATGAATAAGCTCAAGCAAGTGCTTCAAAGTGGGCTATACGAGTATATTGAAGTATGGCAATGCAAGTACAATGTATGTACTGCATGTGCCTTTGTGTTGACAGGAAAGGGGAAGTGTGGATAATTGTGTGGGAGGGCATGTAACATTAGGGTTTGTATAAAGTGTCTTCGATTTTTGTTGCCTGCCTGCTTCACCATTTCCTCGTTTCATTTCCTTATTGGACACCTCATTCTGCCTCTAGGTAACACCAGATGATCTGAAGATTTCTGTATACTTCCTTGATTTGACAAAGTCTTGCATCTGCTGTAATATTGTTAAGAAGTTATAAGAGAAAACCAGATAAATTCATGGCTACAAAAGTTGGATTCATCTGTTTAGGTAGCAGCTTTGTCCTCGTCTTAGTAGAAAATCCTTTTTTCAAGACACTGCCTAACTGCTTGTAAGAAATCTGATGAAACCTGACCCATGCCACACCCCGACACTTGTATTCCATTCTACCGTTTTGGCTCGTGACAAAAAGCTTAGTGTTCTTCGCTTCACCACCACCAATACATTATGTACGACATGATACGGTACACTGAAACCTTTTAAGAACTTGCTTTTGTCGCTGTTCATACATTGCACGCTGAATGCACCTGACCCCGATTGTTCGCATGATTTGAAGTTCTCATGTTTCTTCAACTTCTCACCAAGCAGATGTATGAGAGTGTTCAGGCCAGCCTGAATTTTTTCTGTCGTCTCAATTTTGTTTGACATAACAGTGGAACATCTATGGCGTGACAATCCTAGAGGGTCCCCCAGGAAAATTGTGAAATCTTGACCCTCTGAAATGTTATTTCCTGCATTTTGAGAATGAAATTTGGCTGATGCAGTTTAATGACATCTCTTTAGATATCTTTACACACTGATTTTTGTCCGTCCAAGAGGATGGATTGGGCAAAATTTTTGTTCGTCATAAGCAGCAAAATTCCATCCAATGACAGAAAGACGGATGCTAGCTAGTTGTGTATGACTGACCGCTTTCTACGTATACCCTTCCTGGGCATTTTATTTGCCATCTAATTTTGTCGTTTGCAAATGACGTCATTGTAATTCTCATGGGAGGAATCTGCCAATATCACTACTACAGCGATCTTTTCACCTGAGTCGATACAGGTAATCTTACGTTCCTCTGGGACACTCTGAACAAGCTACGTGCGTGATTCTATTGTTCACGAGAGGTGGACATTCTTTAGATAAGGGAACTACGAACCTTTTTCCTAATTACCAACAAATCCCAGTGGTAAAATTGCCACAATGATAGTAACTAAGTCAGAGCAATTCTGAGGTATGGAATGGTGCAATTTGAGAATCTTCCTTTAATCTAAATGTGTTAATTGCAAGATAAATAAGACGTCATCTATACCCAATGTTTAAAACTGCTTAAATTGATTTAGCAATTTTGTTTACAATATCTTTATGGTATCCCAATTATTGGCTTTTGTTTAGGACAAATTTCTTAGAGAATAAGAGGTTGCGAACTAAAGCAAGGCGACTGACACTTGAAGATTCCTTGGATATCGTCTTAGATGCATCTTGATGCCAGACCTAAGGTTTAAATGTCTGAGCCCATACATATATAGCACCTTGGGTGGACACTTGTCTCCTTTGTTCTGACCACATCACTCATATATTATTCAGTTCCTCCAAATAGACTGTTGAATCATTCTTTCAAATGTCATCCCCCCAAGGGTAGGGTATGGTGAAGAAAAAGGAACAAAAAGAGGAACACTTACACACACATGACTGGATACAGCAGTATTTGTGTCTTCGCTATACATACTGTATGACTAACTGATGTTATCACAATGTGGGGTGTGCCTACATGGCTGTTTTCAACAAATAAATTAAGTGTTATGACTAATACTAGTAATGAGCTGATCCTTACACCAAGCCACACTTCTTGGGAATCTGTTGTCTTCTTGCTTCAGTTTTTAAAGAAGAATGGACCATTTTGTATGTAACACTAATACCGTGAATCCAAATAGGTTGTAAGAATCTTTCCACCCTAAGGCCAGACATACCGATAACCAAGCATGTGGTCCTGTTTGCTCCAAATTATTCTGCCTTAAGGCAAAACGTGCTTCTGAAAGCTTGTTTTTTTTTGCATCGACAGTTCTCTTGTTTTTCACTTCCTTTCTTTGCTGATTATGTACTTTTATCTGAAGGCAGTCGTTTTTTAATGCCCAAAATATATTCTAAAAAAAGTTGTCATATTAAGTATTAGCAAAAGATAGACAGTAAATAGCAAAGAAAACCCAGAGTTCTCTTTGTGATCTTTGTTTAAGGCGTTTGCAGGTTCACGCATGGACGAATCAAGGACGCTCTGGTAGGTAAGGATGAAGGGAGGATTTCCCGCCATGGAAACTGTGGCTCAACACCGGGGCCGTCTCCATGGCAACACAGCCTTATTGTCCGCACACGAACACCTGGTATGCCCTGGGGATGCTGAGGGTGTGTATGGCGGTTTTGTCCGATCCGGGGAATTTCATACGATTTTAATACAATAGCCAACAATGTTTAACTATTTAGAAAAAAGATCATGATATCTAGCAATTTCGATAATGTCGATAAAAATTAACCCGAGTTTATTAATTTAGAAACCATTTCCTGTTCCTTTTTCAATGATACTGGTACACTCCAAGGGTAGCCTCTGACTTAAGCGCGATCTTGCAGGTACACGCATATGCGACTCAATTCGTTCAACTAGTTCGATTCTTTTCTGCCAAAAAGGTTAATCCCGTGTTCTGTTGTTTGAGCCCCGGTACTGTGTGACTGATGAAGCGGGCAGGCCTGCCACTGTCTAGTGCAAACATCTCTCTACTGTTTACGTTCCGTCTGAAACTACGTTACATGCCTGATTAATCAATACATGCCGCCTAAAAGTGTGTGCACGCAAGGAAATATAGCCTGGAGCGAAGTGTGTGTGGGTACAATATTCCTTTTGTACGTGCGTACTTGTGGCGCCAAAAGTAAGAGTTCTCACCGGTGCGCTTACTCATGTGTTAACAGGTGTGCGTGGAATTTTTTGGGAATGTTGTAGCCTCTATCAGGCCTTCCTACGGGGTTACAGATCGTAGAATCGGCAAAAAAAGGTTAGAATACTTAGCCAGGAGAGGCAGTCCTCGTGAGCAAATGAACTCTGCGGTAGCTAAACTCATCTGTCTTATTATTCTCTCTAGTTGGCTAAATTTTACAGTTTTTAGTCTGGTAGAAAACTCTCTTAAGTTCACCAGGGCTTAACGGCAGTCCCTGGGGTATACATAAGGACACGTTGGCGCCAACTCTCGCCAGGTAAGACCGTGTCCAGGTGCGCTAATCCTGCGGGCACTACCTGCGCACGGACCGGCCTTTGTTTGCATGCTATGACTCAGTCAACTTCCGTCCGCATTCATTTTCATGATATACGGCCGGAAAAATTCAAGTAGGCTAGACCCACACGACGTTTAAATTTCCCATTACAAATCAAAGTATCATGCACGGACTCTGTACTATTCTGTGGTCGTTTTTACGAGTAAAGTGGCAACCTGTAAACCTAATAATGCATGCAAAGATGTAAAGCCTGTCAACTAGCCTTCTATCACGTTTTTACCTTGGGTGTGGCAGGTGCTCGGCCAACATGATTACGAAGATAAGAATCAAAATTGGAACCATCTAGAGGTTACTAAGCAGCCAAACATTGCCGATAGGATTGCGCGGTGATGATTTTGGATGTTTGGTGGAGAAAATTAGCTCAAGCTTTACCGACGTGTCACTCAAATTATTGGTCTAGATATTTACCGTTGGGTTCTCCACGCTTCAAATGGCACGCGGCCGCTTGGTCGTTTTCTGAGCGCGTGCGGTCGTGAAACTTCAAGCGGGGAAAAGATTCAACAGGTCAATTTATTTCCAGTTGAACTAGTTGTACTTTTGAATCAGAGGTGAAAGCTAAGGCGGTTGTGCTGAAGTTGAAATTTATTTTCAATCCCAGTTCCTGATTTATCTTAAATTTCAAATTCGTTTCCTCAATACGCACGTGTGAACCGTTTAGCAACGGTTTTTGGGTTCAAAATTTTAAAATTGCGAATGCCGAGGCTTGAGAGTGGGCTTTACGTTGAGAAAAAGAAGTCCAGACACATTATAAAGGTGCTCAAGTGTTGTGCAGTAAGCCGTGCCACGTATATCCGTCACGGCGAGAACAAAGCCGCACGCTTCCCCTAACACACCTGGCAACCTGGGCGCCCCACCAGGTGCCACTAAAATACACTTTTCCCTATAAAAACCTCAAAAACAACGGTTCTACATGAAAATAAAGTGCAGAAGTGAACGTTTTGCTTACCTTGTTGAACATTTTGGCGTGTTTTTTGGTGTTTTCCCGGTAGATTTCGGAAGAGAGAGTAGGTGACGAGTCGTGTTCCACACAAGTCGCTGGGAGCAATGGGACTGGATGTCAGACAGATGAGCTCATCATAACGTTGGACGACTACAAGTGTTCAGAGGGGGGCATTTTCAACTTTACCACCTTCTTCTTTTCTTTATTTCCATAATCGCCATGCATTAATCAAT